TAAACATTCAGATCAGCATCTATGTAAAATCCCTATGTAGCCTTTCGTATGTCTAGCATTACTCTTGCTCCAGTCCCTGACGACACCCTTTCGGAAGTAGGTTTCATTTTTGATTTATTTTTGTGTACTATTCTTGTTGACCTCCATGTTTTTGGAGTAAATAGCATAAAACTACTAGTTTATAGGTTAGGGTTTCAAAAAACTATAAGATTTTAATTTTTCTCAAAAACATACCAAACGCGTGATCGGCTGTTTCAAAAAACCCAAATCACCGAATGCTTTCAAATTGATCGTGACTATGACAAGGATGGCCCACTCGTTGGAGCTGACATGGCATAAAATGTCAACTCTGTTATCTCTCTTATTCACCCCGTCTTCTTCTTCTATCTCTCTTTCTTCCTCCCGTCGCTTGCCCCCGACGCAGCCATGGAGGGTGCTCAACGTGTACGCTCGCCCCCTGGGCGGCCGGCCGGTCGCCAGAGCGCCGCTGCCGGAGAGCATCCCGCCTTACCCCTCCCCCCGCAGACTAACCCTGTCCAGGGAAGTATCCTGCCGGAGTTCGCCATGCTGACCATGCCGTGTCGTGCTCATGCTCGTGCCAGAGGAAGAGCGCACACACAGCTAACCATGCGGTGCTTGGGCGCCGCCAGCAGCTGCTGTCCCCGGATCCTCGCCACCCCCACCTGTTGTACTCACCGCCGCCACCTGTTGTCGCTCGCCGCCGCCGCGTGCTGCTGGCCGCACCATGGGGAGCCGCCGCGTGCTGCTGGCCATGACATGTGGAGCCGCCACGTGCTGCTGGACGCGAGCCGCCTAAGGCCGCGCCATGGGAAGCCACCTGAGGCCCCGCTGTTGGCCGCGAGCCGCCTGAGGCCGCGCCATGGGGAGCCGCCCGAGGCCCCGCTGCTAGTCGCGCCATGGCGAGCCGCCGGCCGCGCACCCCATGTCCCAGAGCTCGGCCTCCTCCAGTCACCGGCAGGGGAGGGGATGGAGGGGAGTGGACGGCGGCCGGTTGTTGGAGAGAAGCCGTGCGGGATTGGCCCAAGATCTGATTGCTTTTTTCTTTTCTTCACAAGGACCCGGTCGCTTTTTTTAGAAAAAAAATACAGGGACCCGATCGCTTTTCTGTTGAAAATTATAGGGCTCAATTGCTTTTTATCAATACTTGGGCCCCACCTGTCATAACCTATGAATGGTCAATCTAACGATCAACCTAAGGGTGTTAATTTTTATGCCACATGGACCTGACAAGTGGGGCACAACTGTCAAAAAACGGTTTACAATTTAAACACTCGGTGATTTGGGTTTTCTGAAACAGCCGACCACACGTTTGGTAGTTTTTGAGAAAAATTAAAATCTGATAGTTTTTGGAACCGTAGCCTGTAAACTAGCAGTTTTATGCTATTTACTCATGTTTTTGAGAGCATCGATGATGCACAGCTCCATGATGTCCTACACAGCACCTGCCGCCTCCTCATCCTCAGAGAACGCACACTCCATGAACTCCGCCAGCTTCCTCACGTTGCCGAACGGTCCCAGAGCATATCCTCCTACCGGAGGAACAACACCTTCTCTGGCCGCATCTGGCTCGCCTCCAAGTAGCCCGAGACGTGGGCCCTCTGCGGGCCACCGCCCACCGGGGAATCGGCCGTCAAAGAAGACCAAGAGCTCGAACGCGTCCCGGCTACCGTCCTCGTCCGTGGCAGCCATCTTCTTATCGAACATCCACGTGGAGACGAAGGCGTCCCTGGGGTCGCGGCAGACGTACACGACCATGCATCCGGCGCCCTCCGCGATGACGCGCTCCGACAGGAGGGAGTAGGGGATGTGGGTGGCGATGACGCCCGGCGAAGGGTGCGCCGTGAACACGTCTCCGCCTCTGATGCCGGCTTGAGCGCGAAGAGCCCCTCCAAGAACTCGACGCAGTTGTGCAGGTTGCGGCGGCTGAGCGGGTGGTCAGAGACGCGCGACGGGTGGGACGTCTATGTTCGAAAAAATGATTTGAATCTAACGCTGGAGTGTGTTCTTAAATATTTGTGTTGGCCATTGGTTAGTGGGACGTGTTTGTTCGAGTGGATAACAACACTTAGTCAGGTCTTTGAGTTTCTGAATTTGATCCTTCAACTCAACTCTTTTTTTGGATTTTTAGTCGTGCCTTACAAACACATATTGTTACGTGCCTGGGCCTTTCTCAACCCACGTAACTTAATGGGCCCAGCTACTTGGAAAATAAGGCAAAAAATATTTTAAATAATCCTGCATTGCTGATTTACATATAATAATCGTACCTTTTTTTTTGCAGAAAAACTTTCAATCTATTCATCTGGGCGAAGGATGGGTAGATTGGTCCGTGAGCTAGCTGAAAAAAGACCCTGATTTTTTTTTAAAAAAAAAGGAATTAACTCCAGTTGCTACCTGAACTAGCTAAAAAAGGGTCTGAATTTCTTGAGGATTGCTACCCGAGAAATAGAGAAGAGAAGACCTGACTATGTCGTGACTATGTGAGCTATATGCATGAAAAAAGAAGACCCGACTCACTCCCATATTATGGAACATCACACCTTAAATCCTCTCTATCAATGAACGGAAAAACAGCGGAGTAAATTAACTCCGGTTGTACTACATCGATGGCTTGTACATTGAAAAGGAAAGACCCGCCTCACTTTCATATCATGGAGCTTCATACCTTCAAATACTCTCGAAAGAATGAAAAAAAATGGATTGAATAATTTGCGGGCCTTCTCTGGTGTGCGATGTCCTAACCAAACCCTTAAATCCCCTCGATTATGGAAGGAAAAATAGCGCATCGATTACTTTTCTCATGCGATGAAACTCAGAATCTAAAAGTTCATTCTTGATGTGCACACGCGGTTTTGCTTGCACATATAATTGTCAATAAATTTAAATGTATACTACTTTTTTTCCCGTTGCAACACACGCAAGTATAGCTAAAGTGGAGGAGTAAATGGCAACAAGTCCAGAAAGTAAAGTGGACTCCTCTCTCAGTTTTACATGAACAACTGAACATCGCATCGATATTCCTTCTGCTTCACTCCTTGTGTTCATGGAGCGGCCGGCCGGCCCGGCCGTGCTAGTTTCTCAGCATCGATCGTCCCTGCCGGCCTACCGGTCAGCCATGGCGTTGAAGGTGAACTCCGACCCTTGGAGTGCATCCTCGACAATCTTGTCCAGCCGCACAGCCATCGCCGGCGTCATGTGGTTGCTCCAGTCCCCGGCGACCCCCTTCCAGAAGAAGGACTCGTTCTTCACGTAGGATTGACCACCGTCCTTGTTCACCTCCAGGTTCTTCAAGGCGTCGATGCTGCACAGCTTACTTACGATGTCCCGCACCACCCCCGCGGCCTCCTCCTCCGCCAGCTTACTTACGTTGCCCGCCGGGTCCCGAAGCATGCCCTCGTACCGGAGGAAGAGCACCTTCTCGGGCCGCCTCCGGCTCGCCTCCCAATAGCCGGCAACATGGTGCCACTGTGGGCCGCCCATGGACCGACCATGGCAGTAGAGCTCGAACGCGTCCTCGATCGTGAACGGCGCTGGAGGTGGCGGCGAGTCGCCATTGTTGTCGGCGGCGGCGGCCTCCACCATCTTGTTGGCGAACATCCACGCGGAGACGAAGGCGTCCTTGGGGTCACGGCAGACGTACACGACCTTGCATCCGGCGCCCGGCAGGAGCGAGTAGGGGATGTGGGTGGCGATGACGCGCGGCGAAGGGTGCGGCGCGAACACGTCTCCGCCTTTGACCGGCGACGGCGAGAGCGCGAAGAGCCCCTCCAGGAACTCGACGCAGTCGTGCGGGTTGCGGCGGCGGAGCGGGTGGTCGGGGGCGCGCGGCGGGTGGTCGGCTCGGTGGAGCGCGGCGAAGGCGAGGGCCTTGAGCCAGGTGGTGCCGGACTTGGGGAAGCTGGCGAGGAAGACGTCGGACGGCCTCGGCTCGAACCGCGCGCGCGCGGCCACGACTCCCGGGAGGATCGGCTCGGGCCACCAGAAGCCGCCGTACTGCCTGAGCGGCGTCGGCGGGCACCGCGTCTCCAGCGGCAGCTCGGCCATGTCGGCGTCGTCGGCGTCGGGGGACGCTGCCATTGGTCGCGCCGCGCCGTGCCCCGCCCGCGCGCGTGCTCCGGAGGCCGAGTAATAATCAAGGAGTAGTTGCCACGAGATCCCGGGAGACGCTGAGTATGATTGAGCAGCGGACGACGATTATGTCCCCCGCGACAACGATGCGATCTCAGTCGGGAGATGACAAGGTTGAGCAGAGGACACGACACCAACCATGTGGACTGTGTGATGTATTATTATTTCTTTCGAAATGCCTGTGTGATGTATGTTGGGCCTTAATAATGCGACTAATTCAACAAAGGCCCCGTTTGATAGCAAAATATTCTCCAAGTATTTTAAGAATACTATAGTTTTTGAGGTTACCACAGTTTTATTTACAATGAGCTGTTTGATTGCCCTTAAAAACTGTGATTTTAATACTGTAGTTTTGGCCAAACTGTAGTTTTTTCTCTGCATAAAAAAAAACCTCCGACCTCTTTTTTAAAAGCAGAGAAGCTCAAAAGAAAGTACTTGCGTCGTTGACCTTCCCCGCTCTGCTCAACAACTCGCTCTGGCCTCAGATTGTGTGGTATGATGCATACGGGTACCCATAGGGAGCGAGCTGCTGTTGCATTTGAGATCAGTGAAGGCGCCGCTACGAAGGGTTTTAAGTATCTCAGATTGCTCGGAGGTTATCTGCCTAATTACTCTGCTGCCATCGCTGTCGCTAATTATAATTAGGCTAATCGATCCATATATTCTATTCTAGTACTACATCACGGTGCTCCTTCCATCCACTATTTTTCAGCTAGCTTCTCCTTGCAAAAAGTTAGGCAGCAAAATATACAGCATTGTGCAGTAACTACCAAACAGGTTCTATGTATTGTGAATACATCAAAATATTATGTTTTTATAAAATCATGGTATCGCATACCTATAGGCAAAATTACTGTAGTTTTTAATACTTTGATTTATATAATACTTTGCTATCAAACACAGCCGAAATCTCTGTCAAAATAAATGCCGTGTTTGCATCGCCGGTAGCCCGGTAGAATTCACTTCGATTCTTTCTTGGAACTAATCAATCGCATCTCCCACACTCATCATTAACCAACGAAATAGACTTCAAGAATTACACCACCCACAAGCAACTTCGCAGGCCTGATTCCATCAAGCGATACAACAACATTTCTTAAAATACAATGCAAGCATGACTCGCTCTGAATATGTTTACATACATGTTTTTCAGTTGATGAGAACCTTGGGCCTTTGTATGAAACAAGAGAGCATTTTCATGTGAGAATTTTGCCCTGTACTATCTATATACACACACATACACTCAATGTAACCTTTTTCATCGATTTGGACCGCACGTGAAATCTGGATCTTCTACCAAGTTGATAGTACGCTCAGGATTTGGACCGTGCAGTTCGAAGACTACCTGCCAAAATAATGAAATGTAAGAGCATGTGTCACTTGCTAATAGCATTCCTGCCAAAGAACTAAATTTCTCTGTGCATTTGAGTTCTGGGCTCAGTGTATGGAAGGTAACTCTTCGCCATATGACATGATAAACAGCGAATGTAGAAAATTCATAGTTAGGAAGTACATACAACAATGTTGTCTCCAGATCTGAGGATTGGAGCAGGAACATAAAGAGCACACTGTGGTCCCATTACCTACAAATAGGTCCAAATTCAGATCACTTTTGAGTGTAAAAATAATTCTTTGCTCAACTGGAATGCATGAAAACAGTTTGTCAATTGGAGGTCTCAGTATTTTACCGGCCAGAACCTTCCAATGTTGAAGTTGTTCACAAAAGCAACCCCTTTGTTCCAACCACGGAATGATATGAATGTATCCTTTATCGTGCTATTGGAGTCAATGTGGAAATGGCCTTCATAAAATTCTGGCTCTTCTGAATTGCCTTGTCATAATACAATGCAAAGATATTTTGAGTAGTGGTGCAGTAGATTTTTCAGAAAACTCATCCGATGTGCAATCAAAGTACAAATGCAACACTGGAACATGTGCATCAGCACAAAAATATTGAAATTCAAGATGCAAACTTTTGGTTACAGCAATTTTCAGTCTTCAACAGTATTGATGTAAAAAGAAAGCTCCAGAGATCCACTAACTTTTCCTGAACTAGCAACAAATATGACAAATAAGGCAAATGTTTCCAGGAGATTAAGTACAATTTCAAAGCCCGTTATATCATGAGCCATTTTAAGTTTTTTAACCAACTGACGATGACTACATGGGAATCAGTTATGCCTGACTTTCCCATGAGCATGACTGCACTGGAATCAGTTATTTTTAACTTTTTAAAAGGACCGTATACAGGGGCTTACCATTTAGGTAGAATGACAAATCACGTAGCTTATTTCGTGAATCACCATGAATGGACACTTTTCTAGCTCTGGCATCAGTGATCTGCTGGATTGGTTGGAATTTCGGAATGTTGTCCAGTAAATCGAACGATAACGGATACATTCTCCAGTGATGGAGAGTAACACCATCTATTTCAACAGTAGATAATATCCCCTGTATTTTTCAATTCGGTAATGATCAGCACAAGAAGCTTACAAGCATTGTCCATGTGGATACTGCAGCATGAGCGAGGTTATGTGGGAGTGTGGGACTTACCTTCTGGTCAAAAATGTATGGCCCATAATTTACACGGCCCATATTTTCTACCTGTAGATAGAACACATATATATGTAGGTAAGGCAGAAAACATGAATTAATATTATTTATTCGAAAGGAAGGTTGTAGAAGTAATAGCTAATTGTACTCTGATACTTTTTTTTTTAGAACTTTGTACTCTGATACTTATAAGTACTAAGTAACAGTAGTTTATCGTGTTATCTTTTTTGGCTGGGCTGATACTTTCCACATGTGCAGATCTCTAAATAAGTGTTAGTTGAATTTTAGGCTATCCAGTTATGCAAGTCGAAATGTTACAGAAGCATGTCATGCCTCCAGTCATGGATGTATACAGAAGGTTTAAACTGGAATCATGCAATCATCTTCTACCAAGTCATTGTCATGCCTATGGCTGTACACATTTCACATGCACAAGCCAAATCGGTCTTCTACCAATACATTTTTAGGAGTCTCTACCAATCTATTCCACATCTCAAGATTCAATGAGTTTGATTGAACTAAGTAGAGTAGCATTAGTAGACTGTGCAACAGTTTCCTCATTATGTAATATTGTGTCAGCTAACAGCAACTGTAACATCTATGGAAGCAATAAGATTTTCCATTTTATACTTTACAAAAGAAATTCATGACTATTACCAGGATAGATATGCGGATATTAGAAGAGCAGTTTAAGGTTGGTATCTGTAGGGTTTTACTAGACCATCTTTCAATAACGCCAGCATATCTTTGATTTCTGACGCCATCAAGTGAGCATGCCACAAACACCTGGGCTCTGTCATGTACCTACAGCATAAATTAGATCTAAAAGCAATGAACTTGAATGCATGTCAACGAAAGAAATGATGAGTAGAAAAACCTTTGGAATTGATAGGATGCTGTAAGGACCTTTTCCTTGGTATTCCGACACATACAGTAGAAACCCAAACATCTGGAATAAAAGAAATGTAACCATGAACATACAAAATGTGAACCTGCTCGACAACTTCTGCAACGGAAAAGGAACCGGAGTCCAGAAATATACTTGGATAGGTTCCTACCTGGCCTGTCAGTTCCATAGACAGAGGCTGTTCTGAAACAGCCACTTTCAGTGGATCACAAAGCTTATCAAATATGTCAAAGAAAGAAGCAACCTTTTGTAATTTCACAAGCCCATAACTTGCTCTTTCAATGTCGGCAGGAAGTGGATGCAGAGGAGTGCCAGTGCATTCATGTATTACTCTTCTCAATGCTGCTTGATACCACCAAGTTGTAATCAGAAAAACATAAACAAACAGTAGTTTAAAAATACTCCCTCTGTAAACTAATATAAGAGTGTTTAGATCACTACTTTAGCATTCTAAACGCTCTTATATTAGTTTACGGAGGGAGTACATCTCAAGTATAAAATTTCACTTCAAGACTTCTAGAAATTTATTAACTTTTGTCTTGTAGTAGCTCTAGGACCTTCTTTGTTACTTTTATTGCTTTTAGTATTTTCCTTGTTCGGTTTTGCAGGTTTTGCATAGTTCTTCTTTCACCTTCTTGGTTTACTGTAACTCTGCATTATTTCGACAAGTACAAAATTACACGCATTTCAATGTGTGGTTGAGAAAAATACTTTAAACTGGTGATTGCTACACCTGCTCATCAACTATGGCATACAGATGATGCAGATATTAGGGTATGCCATTCAAAACCTATCGCGTATTTTTCATTTTATCTCGTGGTGTAGCTGGCAAGAAGAGCCCAAAAATAACAAACAAAACAGTTATGTTTTCATATCGAGAACTGAATAACTAAGCAACTATTTTAGGAGAAACTGGAACTTCTGATAGAACCATCATGCTTCAAATAGAAAAGTTCAAATATAATATAGCATGCCTCTGTATTTGGGATTATGCACGTCTCCATGCTCCTTAATTGGCGCATCCTGGTCGAAGACATTATATAAATATAAGATACCTCCAGAAATGGTTTAAGAAATGAAAGAACTGATTTGGCGAAGTACTTGCATAATCATAAGATGTGAGGTCTGCCTTATACTCAAATTCAGTTTGACCAGTATTTGCTCCATTGTAAAACCCAAAATTTGTCCCTCCATGAGCCATCTGGAAACAGATCTCGTGAAAAATAGAATTAGTAAAACTAAAATGTAAATGAAATGCGGTGATAAAAGGGCTCTCGTTACAGACATAGAGTACAGCAGAACCATTGCGGCATAGAATACTTTTAAGAGCCTTAGCTGTGCTGCTGGCATCTGTTGTAGCAATACTCTCACCCCAGTGTGTTAGCCATCCGGTATAAAATTCCCTGAAAAGTAAAGAGGAAATATCAGTAGTACAAGTTACATACGAAAAAATAATAAATGAGTGATATAACATTAATCATGGTGCACAGAGCCACAGACCACTTACGCACTTAAAGGAGCTGATTTTCCTGGTAAGTTGTATTTCTTCTGTAATCTGAATATTGGCCATGGATCATCACCAATTGAAAAATCAACAGCTGCACTTGAATTATAATTATTTGGAAACTGGTAACTGAGGAAAACCAAAAGCATAATACTTGTAATAATTATGAAGTTAGGAAGATAGAATTATTTTCTGCTTCAAAAGTGTTAGGAAACCATACTGAAGTGGATATCAAATAATCTTCATAATCTTTAACAATATCAACAGAAAAGTCATTGTACACATTAGCATTTAGCATCGCTCACCATGCATATAGTAAAAAATGACAGTGCAGTTTCAAGGATTACACAGATAGCAAATTTCTGTGTGTGTGGGTGGGGGTGGGGGGATTGAAAATATAGGGTTATTTACTAAAAGAAACTTAGACTGTATCACCCTAATCCATCATTCAGTACCACATAAGCAGTTATATTGAAACCCTTTTGGGTGAGCTGGGACCAAAGTCCACGCGTTGCTACGCGCATGACCGCCAAACATGCGGTTGAGGAGCTTTAACCGATTTTTGGGTCTAGTGTGTTTATACTAACATCCACGTCATACTATACTAGGGTGTTTAACCTAATCCATCATATTTTTTTACAGGAAGAACATCCACATCATCACAAAAGTCATTTAGTCTAATTTACCGGCGAAGACATCATCTTGAAGAATTGCTCCATTCCTTAAGGTATTAGTAGTGCCCCCATCAGTTGTATACCTAAAAGATTATTTGTGAAAGTCATAATCGCGACTTTGATAACCACTGTTTACAAAGGAACAAACATATTGATGCTATCTTTCAGAAGCTTTTCTCTAAACTAAAAATAAACAAATTAATAGAACGATCGATCAGATGAGAGCATGGTTTCCGAGTCGCGCGACTAGTCATGACTAGTCGCAAAAAAATGTCGACTCAAAGTCGACTCGAGTCACGAGTCGCGACTAGTCGCAACTGCAGGCTCGACATTTCCGAGTCGCTACCCCAGAGCGACTTGGATGAGTCGCGGCTCGAAAACCATGGATGAGATCATCACGGTGATTTTTTATCAACTGGATATCTTTTGACTTTCTTCTTATTCTGGTTTGTCAGTGCAGAATGCAAGTACGTTAATCCAATGTAAAGTGTCAACAAAAGGCAGATCTTGTATAAAATGTCTTCATACAAATTATCTGTGTAAAGGATTATTTGAGCACATATCATTCTTGCTTATTACAGGAGGAAACTGATAAGCAGGACAAGAGTATTATTCCAGCCCAATTCTGAATGCAAAATAAAACAAATAGAATTAGACTATAAACACAAACATGGTGCTAGTAAATGATATTTGTGCAGTTAAGGTTTATAACCTTCCACAAAGGGAACTGCTAGGAAGGCCAATCTCAATGTTGTATGAAATTTCACCACTACCATGCCTAGTAAGTATGCAAAATTATAGTATTACCCTAAATAACTTTGTACATAATCTATAGAATAAGTAATAAATTTAGCAGACATTAATAAGAGGTAAAAATTATGAGAAGGGAAACTGCGTACAGAACAATGTCATTCCCCAGATATCGTCTGGCCAACTGAACAAGGTAATGAAGGTAATTCTTGTCATCTCCAAATGAACCAAATTCATTTTCAATCTGCTAGACAGGGAAAAAAATATTAGTTACTTGTTACACAAAACATAAAAATGGTTATGAAGTGGTTAACCGATTTAAACCATGATGGACTTGCCTGCACCATGATAATTGGACCTCCATTCTCGTATAACAGTGGTGCTACTTTTGGGAGCAAGACTCTCCACCATCTCTCTACCTATAGAACTAGCTAACCTTGGTCAAAATATCTCCAGAAAATCCCAAAGCAATGATGGCAGTATCATACATAAAACCCTAAAACTGGTGATGTTTTGGGCAGCTTACCAAGGAAAGATAGGTTGAGTCTGATGATCGCAGTTTAATGGCTGGTTCTATGGTGAGCAACCATGGTGGAAATCCCCCTAAATCCCATTCTGCATGACAGGTTCAAGAATTCATAGATCACATCGACAAAAAGCTCAACCGAAGGGTATGAACTATCACAACCCAATCAACTCTGAACTCTGAAACTATATGGAATCTGTACTAATACAAAGAACTTCTGAACCAGGTATAACAAGTTAGGAACTAATCGTAGTAAATTAGCATGAGGAAATGATGGTTTCTGTTCTTGATCAAGTGGAGGCATTTTACTCTCTGCTTCATCAGACAGGGTCACAGAAAACATCCGACATGAGAACTGACACTACGACTATTGTTAGTCCTTTCACTTTTACAGAGTTATTTTTGTAAGTAAAAGAGCTAGAAAGCCTTATCAGCCGTAAAATCAGCAGACTATGAAATACATATTTCAGCGACCATAAAATCAACAGACTAATTCGATTATTTAGAATATTTGTCTGAAGTTTATATATCTGCTTAGCCATGTCTTTGCTATTCTCAGTACACGGATACAATTATCTTGATAGTCATATTGACATGCTGAAATGGTAAAATTTCAATAAGCTATGAAATTACCTCCACAAATATATGGACCTACACGAAGCATGACGAGCATTTCTAATTCTTGTGCAAGTCTTAGATACGATTCAATGTCAGCGAAACCCTTGAATTCCCAGCTCTGTGGTTCCGGCTCGTGCAAATTCCAAGGAACGTATGTTTGAATTGTGTTCAGGCCTAGTGCCTTAGCCCTTAAAAGGCGATCTTTCCAGTACTGCACACAGAGAATGCAACGTGCATGCAAGCTCGCAATAAGATATATGGAAGAACAGATCAGAAAGATATACAGAAACATTTATTTCCCTATCAATAAAACAAATTCATCTCTGATAGCTTATTCAGTCATTTTATAAGCTGCGTGTAGCAAAAAATAGACTGCGAGTATGACAAAAAAAATGCTACTCCCTCCGATCCATATTAATTGTCGCTGTTTTAATACAAACTTTGTACTGAACCAGCGTCAATTAATATGGATTGGAGGGAGTAGTAAAATATTTCAAAGAGAAGCCGCAATTTCGTCAATCTATCACAGGCATGCAAGCTCAAGGTCACCCGACTTGTTGAATACAGTCTGTGATAGATTGAACACACTGTACAGAATTATTAGTAAACTAGTAGTAGTAGAGAATTTCTGAAATGCTCCAAAATTCTGTACTACGAACATGTAGAGAAATCAATTTCTGTCAGAACTAAACCTACAACACATGTACAGAACTGACAGAATGCGCGACTGCAAATACTCTGAAATGCGCCAAACCACCAATCTATCAGTTGAACGTCACTTGTCATCGCGAATTTACTGACTGAACTCTCCAGCAGATTGCAGTGACATGTACAGTAATACCAGTCGGAAGAGGGGGGATTCATTCACCTCGGGGACGATGCGGAAGTAGTGCACGTCGCCGCCGACGATCTGGAACGGCGCCCCGTCCTTCCAGAAGGCGTCGTCCTCGATCCAGAACCTCCTCGAGGCCTCGCCGCGGACCTGGCAACAGCGACACCCGCACCGCACGACGAGTCAGGCGCCGCCAAAACCAAATCGATTCAAAGCCCGAGCAAACCAAGGATCGGTCGGCGCGAGGGAGAGAGCGCGCGCGTACCGTCGAGGAGAGCGCGGAGCACAGCGACAGCGCGAGGAGAAGCGAGAGCCTCCCGAAGCCTCCGGCGGAGGCCATTGCTTGGCCCCAGTGGACTCCGCTCACCCGCTGCTGCTGCTGCTGCTGCTGAATGAGTGGATTCGTTCTAGCTCGTGCCGCGCGGAAGCGTGAGGAGCTGGACGGCGGCTCGGTTTGGCGACGGGCACCGCGTGCGCCGGAGTGATGGCGGTCTCCGGTGCTGAGGTGGTGGGTAGGGGAGGGGCGCGGTTGCGGTTGCCTGACGCTGACGGGGAAGCGGACTGGGACTCTGTCATTTTTTCAGTATATGAATAGGCTGTTGTGATGTGTCGTTTGCCTGGTGGGAGATGCTGTTTATCCACATATTTTCAGATTCTTTGGCATATCGACGACGTGACGGCACCTCAACTCTTTACTGAACTATGAGCCGTGATAAACCGGAAATCCAATTTGGCTCGGAGCCCGCAAAATACCGACCCGCAAAACGTGTTTGTACTGAGGGGCGGAGCCAAGATTTTGGTATAAGGGGGGCCAAGTCAAGTTCCTAAACTTTTTCTAGTCCAAAAAATAACAATCATCATACTGTAATATATGCCACATGGAACAAAACATTGATACAGTTGTATAAGTTCAAATTTACCTTTACAATTGCCAATAACATGACAAAAAGGTTAATAATTTCACGGGAAGAGAACTTACCTATTAAATTTTTTTCAACGTTTAACCCAAGTAAGTCTCTCGTTTGGCGCTTAAAAGAAAATCAATATTTTGGAGGCACTTCTTAGAGCTTCAACTTGCTTGTCTGGTGGCAGCTCCCAATTTGACATGTTTTTGCTTGTTCTGCAACACTTCCATGTCTGGCATATCCTAATCGTGAGTGTCAATTGGACCAGATTTATGACTTGCACACCAGCCTTATCAACAATTTCAGTGGAGAACTAGAAAGCAACCCGCTTAAATAATGAATTAACATGGACTGTGTTTGACAATGCTTTTCTCTTCATAGCTGCTGAATTGCAGTGTCACAATTAGCTATATTGGATAAGTTTGACATAGGGAAAATTTGCATCGCAAATAATTACTCATACAAGATAATTTGCATCATGGTCACAATAATTTTTAGGACATGTACAGGATAGAAATTCTTCATAGAATCGTAGCATTACAAGTCAGACAACCAGAACATGTAAACTAGTAAAATCTGATGTATATGTTCAACAATTAATGATACACGATGAGAATTGAGATTAGTAGATACATGGTGTGATGTGCTGATGTGCTAAACCTTGGGTCCTTGGCTAGTTTCTGTTGGTTGGAATCAGGCTGTGTGCCTTTGTCGCGCCGTCGCAGTTATGCCGTATGAATAGGATCGGGAGTAGTAGGTCTGGAATAGCGGCGACTAATCCACGTACATGTTTTTTTAATGAGCCTATTTCACGTACAGGCTAATCTTTTTTTGGAGCTAAACGTACAGGCTGATCACGCGAGAACGCAAAGCCAGGCCGCTAGTGTGGGCTTGACATGGGCCTTCTCCCTTTTCCTTAAATTAACGCCGTAGGGGGGGGGGGCAAGTACGTATAAGCGTGAGGAATACATGCGTTCCTATCGCTAATTACACAGCATCGTTTGATCATTAGGGGGGGAGGCCCCTGCTCGCCTCCTGGCTCCGCCACTGTTTGTACTTCGATGCAGATCTTGTTTACGGGTCAAAAACATGCGCACCCAAGCAAAAACTATATATGAAACTGCATAATTTGAAAAAAAAAATCACGGGAGAAATTACAACCGTAGTAGTTCATCACATACTACATATACTACATGGTCAAACACTAATTCATTAGGAACACTAGTTCATACTACATACTACTAGTACTAGAGGGGGTGGGGATCTCAACCGCGGCGAGCTCGCGGCCATGGACGACGCGATGGAGGAGCTCAATCCTCCTTGTCGGACCTGCCGAGGTCGTTGTACTTCTGCTTCTGCTCCTCGCGGATGCGCCGCCATTCGTCGCCCTTCTCCTTGGCGAGAAGGTTCGCCGCGACCGCCTACTGGAACACGAGGTCATCAAGCTCCTCCTGGTGGCGCCGGCGCTCCGCCTCCTCGCGCAAGCTGCGTTCGGCTATGGCGGTCGCGATCGCATCATCATCAGCGACGAACTCCTCGGGCCCGACGACACCGCGGCGCACAACCTCCTCAGGCTCCTGCTTGACGGTGATGACCTCGATCTCCTCCGGCTCCTCCGACCACTCCCTCTTCACGGGGAGAAGGCTCGCGCCGGAAGAGGAAGAGCTCGCGGCGTGGGAAGATCTCGCGCCGGAGGACGAGCCCGCGGCGAAGGAGGGCGTACGCCCGTGCCGACGGTCATATTCCTCTGTCTCGCGGACGCGGAAGCTTGCCGGCGGCGAGAGGCCCCGGTTCGTCCACTTCCTCGCCCCGTCCGAGCGGACACGCCGCTCGCGCTCGAGGTCGTCGCCGCCGCCGGATCTACTCTCAGAGCCGCCGTCGGAGCTCCAAATGCGGCGCCACATGGCGGCTGGAGGAGGAATGCGGCTCACCGCGATGATAAATGTGAGGAGTGGGCGGTGAATTGTGGAGAGACGCGGCGGCGGGGGATAGGGTTTTGACCCGCAAACGCTGCGCGAACCCGTAGATATACTGGTCGGGGGCGGTTTGCGGGTCGCGGTAAATTTTTTCACGGGTCGGGCGAGTATACGGGCTCTGTTCTGGCAAGAAAATTGGGCCGAGCCCGTATACTCGCCGGAATTTTACGGGTTTGCCCACTTTACGGGGTCTATTAGAGTTGCTCTCGCGGGAGCGCGTGCTCCTGCGCACGAAAAATGATTTTTAAAATGTAAAAGAAAATTAACAAAATTTTGTGTATTCATAAATGTTTTTTGCGAATAGTGTATTTATAGTCACATCCAAATGCTACCTGTAAAATTTTAGTCAAAACGGTTAAACATTTTGGCACGTACAGAATAAAAACAAATTGAACACTAAATGTTACCTAAAAGTGTACCCTAAACTTGTTTTTTCACTGACGAAACAATATTGCTTTGTCTTGCATAAAAGTTTTCAAGAATGCTTGCGACACTAATACAAATATCCACAAAATATTAGATTTTTAAAATCTATTTTACCATCTTTTTAGGTACTGTTCATCCAGGAGCAAATACTCCCGAAGCCAAAATGCCTCCCCGGGACCAAGTTGTTTTTATGCACGTTGAAATGTTTGGGCATTCCACCTAAATATTTATGGATAATATAATTAGACGTGAGTTAATCTCCACAATTTATCAGCGCGTCCATCGTCCTTGAATCTACACTCCAACAAAGAACAACATGGCAAGACGCGCTAGTAGGTGCTTGAAAAGGTGTACTTTTAGTTTTATTGAAGGATCAAACTATCTCAAAGTTTGATCGGATTTATGCAAAAATATATCAATATTTGTGAAAGGCTGAAAGCAAATAGTTATATGATGAAAATATATTTTTATCATGAATCTAATGCTATTTTTTTTTAACACAATATAGACGCAAGCGCTCATACACTCACCCTTATGAACGCACACACGCACACCCTACCATATGAGCATCTTGAGAGACTAAGCCGGCATATCATCTTAAGAAGACGCCGTAGGCGCCTCGTCACCGATGGGAACATCCTCTCCCACTGAGAGCACATCATCGAAAATCCTGAAATGAAATCAGGAATAATGCGAGCACCAGGACTTGGACCCTGCTGGGCTGGGATACCACTATCCCTCTAACCACCCAACTACGGATTGTTCTTCTGTGACACCTGGATAACTAAGCTACAATAATTCCCTGCTAATGATGCCACGTCATCATGATTACTGTTGTTAAACTCGCGTTGGTTCGAATCCAGTCCAAATTCAAATTTAAATTAAAGTCAAAAATAAAAGTTCTCAAACATAGATTCTAAAATTTTCAAGGTCTGGCAAATAATGTCTGATTATTTGTCATGTTGGAACCAACCTCTTTTAGATTCCCAGGTGCGCCTGGAAATTTATTTAGTGGTCCAGCAGCACTTAAAATTGGCCTTTCCAATTTCAAAAAATAGTTAGACAACTCCTTTTGGCCTCGAACTTTTTGCGACTCCTAGAAATAATGTGCTTGATTTATGAGATAAATCTCATTTCTAACAACACTCATTTAGTTTTACAATTTAATAGAAAACTGGAACTAAAATAAAACAGAAAAGAAAACAAAGGATAAAAGAAAATCCAATTTGAAAACAAAAAAGAGAGAAGCCCCCGGGCCTAGCCCACCTGGGTGGCCCAGCCAGCCCAACCCCCGCCACGGTCACTCTTCCTGTTCCCCCGACCAGTCGCTACAGGGGCGAGGTTGACCCCGACCACCTCGCCGGCCTCGCCTCGTGGGGATAAGACCAACCTCGCCCCCCTCTCTCCCCCGTGGAACCCTAATCCCCTCTCCCTTCCTCATGCGCCCCTCGCTCTCTCCACCAGATCCGGCACGCCGCTTGTGTCCGAAGACGCCGCTGTCGTCGATGGAAGCCACCGTACCCGTCGCCTGTCGCCCTCGCCTCGCCTCACCGACCAGTCCTTCTTCTCCGCCGACGTCGACCACGTCGTCTGCGTCTTCAAATGGGCGTCGTGGAGAACTGCAGCGCAAGAATCGAGCTGCCTGTTGAGGAACGTAGTAATTTCAAAAAAATTCCTACGCACACGCAAGATCATGGTGAAAGTGCAACTATCCCTAGCTGGTTTTGGTAATTCATAACAACATATAGCTCATTGAGCTAATGCTATTACAAGACTAATATTTCAGGAAAGCTCAATGAATGGCATGGCATGGATGATGAAAGTGGATCCCTCAAAATACTAAGGACAAAGGATTGGCTCAAGCTCAATAGCTCAAGACTCTTAATTTTATATTTTAGTGATCCAAGATCACATTGAGTCTATAGAAAAAGTCAATACTATCAAGGAGGGATGAGGTATTGCTTAATGAGCCTCTTGCTTCATGTGCTTAGTGATATGCTCCAAAACCCTCAGCTACTTTCTCACATCCACAA